TCTCAAATAAATAAATAAAATCTTTAAAAAAAAAAAAAAGAGCCAGACACTTAACTGACTGAGCCACCCAGGCACCCCATACATATATATTTTAATAATGAAAATATCCAACCTTATTAAAGATAAAAGCATCTCCTCTCTCCCAAGTACTGTCTTAGGCCCGGAAACCTGTGTTGGGGGAGGTAGGTATTATTACATTCTCTCTCATTCTCCCTCAGTCCATCAGGGAGGAGTCCTCTTTATCTTTAATTTTCAGTAATTTGATCATATTATGCCTAGATGTAGTTTTCCTTACACTTATTTTGCTTATATTGGGGATAGGGTACTGGGTTTCTTGGGTCTGCTGGTTAATGACTATTGTTAATTTTAGAAAAGTCTCAAGGGTTATCTGTTTAAGTTATGCCTTTGGTTCCATTCTTTCTTCTACTTACACATACATTAGACCATTTGACAGTAACTCACATGTTTTTCAGTTTGTTCTCTTTCTTCTTCCTTTTTTTTCTATTCCTTTTTCCTCCTCTCTGTGCTTCAGTTTGGGTAATTTCTATTTAGCTATGTCTAAGTTCACTAATCCTATCTTTTGCTTTGTCCATTTGCTGTTATAGCTACCCAACAAGTCCTTAACTTCAGATATTGGTATTCAGTTTTAGAATTTTAAATAGACATTTCTATGAAATCTCCATCTTTTCAACATTCTTCTCTAAAGTACTAATAACAGTTATTTCAAACTCCTGTATACTCATCTCAACATCTCAGTCATCTGCAAGTCTTTTACTACTAGCTAAATTTTCTCCTGACTACGGGTCTAATTGCTTTGCTTGTTTGTTATCTTGTAACTTTTGATTATATATTAGACATCATGTATAAAAAGACTACAACAAGTTAATGTTATTTCTCCCAGAGAAGGCACACTTTTTCCCGCCAGGCAGAATGGGTAAGCAGGGGATAATTTCAACTCAATCATTAACTGAGCTAGGCTGTGGTTGGTTTGCAACTTTAGTTAAATGCAGTTCACCTCTGGTTTCAAAGGTCCCAAGGGCAAGACTTGTCCTATATTTGTTGCAGGCTTCTCCCAATAAAATTATATTATTTGATAGAACTATAATGCAAACCACAACTGGGAGCCACCTATGTAAATTAAAATTTCTTAGTAGTCACACTGAAAAAGGTTTAAAAAAACAGTGGGAAATAGTTGTAATAATGTATTTAACTCAATATATCAAAAATATTGTCACCATTATATAAAATCAATAAAGATTATTAATGAGATATTTCAGTTTCTTAGTTCTTCAAAATCTTGTATATATTTTATACTTACAGAACATCTCAGTTTGGACTAGCCACATTTCAAAAGCAGAAGAGCCAAACGTAGTGACTACTGTATTGAATAGTGCAGTTCTAACATGGCTTTATCCTTTAAGGAATGCGAAACTTTGAGAAACTCAGTTTCTTCTTACCAGCTCCCTCTCCCCACCCAACACTCAAAACAAGCACTGTGGATGACTGTGTGTTTGGGGTTCCTCCAGATTCCAACATGTCACTCTAGCCCATACGACCGATAAGTGTCCCTTGGTTTCCTCCTTTCTACAACAAAATCCCTCTGCTTATAGCAAGATAAGGCAAATAATTGCAAAGGTGAAAGGAGCATCCAGTCTCCATGCACCTAGGATGGGCATTTCTCTCCCAGGAATTTAACTCCTCTGGACCTCTTTGAGATATCAATCTTTGATTTTAAAAAATCAGCTTTATTGTGATATAATTTATATCCCATAAAATTTATCCTTTTGAGATGTATGGTTCAGTTTTTTTGTATATTCTCTTGTACTCACTATACCTCACTCATTGTACAAGTACTCACTGTACAAATCATTGTACATCACGCTATCTAATTCCAGACAATTATTATCACTCCAAAGAGAAATCTTATACCCATTAGTAGTCATTCTCCTCTCCTGTCTTAGCAACCACTCTTCTACTGTCTCGATGGATTTGTCTATTCTGGTCATTTCATATAATATGTCGCTTTTTTGTGTCTGGTTTCCTTCACTTTGCATGTCTCCAAGGCTGATCCGTGTTATAACATATGCTTTATTTCTCTCTATGGCAGACTAATATTCTTGTATGGGTATGCCACATTTTGCTTAGCCATTTGTCAGCTGATGAACCTTTGGGTGTTTTCCACTTTTGGCTATTAAGTCTCTAATCCATATTGAGTTAAATTTTGTGATGGTGTAAGGTAAATGTCCAAGTTCATTTGAATATCAGATAGTCTGAACACCATTTGTTGAAAAGACTGTTCTTTACCATTGAATTATCTTGGCTTCTTTATCAAAAACCAATGGACAGTAAATGTGAGGGTTTATTTGTAGAATCTCAATTCTATTAATTGACATATATCTATCCTCATGCTAGTACTTTATTGTCTTGATTTCTATTGTTTTATCATAAGTTTTGAAAGTAGGATGTGTGAGCCTTCCAACTTTGTTTATCCTTTCTAATACTGTTTTGGCTATTCTGGGTCCTTTGAATTTCCATATGAATAATTTCCATGTGAATTTTAGGATCAGCCTGTCAATTTCTGCAAAGAAGTTAGCTGAAATTTTGGGGCGCCTGGGTGGCTCAGTCGTTAAGCGTCTGCCTTCGGCTCAGGTCATGATCCCAGAGTCCTGGGATCGAGCCCCGCATCAGGCTCCCTGCTCCGTGGGAAGCCTGTTTCTCCCTCTCCCTCTCCCCCTGCTTGTGATTCTGCTCTCACTGTGTCTCTCTCTGTCAAATAAATAAACAAAATCTTTAAAAAAAAAAAAAAAAGTTAGCTGAAATTTTGATGTGGATTATGCTGAATGCAATTTTTTTGAAGGCGTACTGTCATCTACCACTAGTAAGTCTTCTGATCTATGTACATGGGATATAATTTCATGTATTTAGATCTTTTAAAATTTCTTTATACATGGGATATAATTTCATGTATTCAGATCTTTAATTTCTTTCAACCATGTTTTATAGTTTTCAAAGTAAGTTCTAGAGGGGAGGGGGCCTGGTGATGGGTATTAAAGAGGGCACGTACTGCATGGAGCACTGCATGTTATAAGCAAACAATGAATCATGGAACACTACATCAAAAACTAATGATGTAATGTATGGTGATTAACATAACATAACAAAAAAAAATTTATAAAAAAAAAAAAACCAAAGTGTAAGTTTTGTGCTTCTTTTGGTAAATTTATTCATAAGTATTTAATTTTTTTGATGAGATTATAAAAGGAAGTATTTTAATTTTACTTTTAGATAGTTCACTGCCTAGTGTTAATGTGAGTTGATTTTTATATTTTGATTTTGTGTCCTACAAGCTTACTGAACTTATCTGCCCAACAGTTTTTCAGTGGATTCCTTAGGATTTTCTACATATAAGACCACATCATCTACAAAAAAGTGTTTTATTTCTTCCTTACAATCTGGGTGGAAAATAAAGGAGAGTGACTGAGAAAGAACGGCTCAAGGACAATGGGACGAAAGCAGTGACAAACAGGCAGAGGAGTGCCACAACCCCACAAATGACTGCTGAGGAGCCAGCAAGTGGAGAGGGTAGAGGAGGAAAGGAAGTTTCTCAGGGGTTCACTTTATTGATGGTGATAGGATCTTTTAATATAAAACATATTTCTTTCACCAAAAGTAAAGCAGGACACTCTTTGAGGACCACTTACTTCTGAAGAGGTAGACAAATGAAGTAGAAAAGACAAATACACCTGAAAGAATCTTCAAATGTTAGAAAATTACTTTTACCCAGAAAGAATTCTACTGCAATCCTTTCTCTAGAGCCTGAGAGAGTAAAGTGTTATGAGTTGTGGTCTTGTCTCTATCATTACTTGACTAGAGACGACTGTTCTTTTGGATCCTCAGTTTCCTAATGTATAAAATAAGGCAGCGGGATTCAAAAACTCCTAAGGCCTTCTTCAGTTCTCGCATCCTGAGATTCTACATAAGCTAGCAAAAACAAAACAAAACAAAAACAAAAAAACCCCAAAAACCTTACTTAAGGGATGAATACTATAAGCTACCCACAAAAATAATACAAGAAAGAGAACCTGATATATAATTCAAAGGCAAAACCTATCAACTCAAATAACAGAAAAATTTGAGAAAATAAAATCCATGGATCCCCTCTTAAAGATTGCTGGCAACCTCTAGGGGGTAAGTGCCTTACAAAAAAGAATCTCTCCTAGCAGTAACATTTATTGGAGAACAGTAGGAATTTATTTTCGAAGAGTGACACTACCTCATCTGAGAAGCAGACCAGCAGGGTGAATAAGACACTCATACATCTGTATTTCTGTGATTTTTCTCACTTGGTATTATTCGCAACTGTACTTTTATGTCTGGCAGCAGTGCCAACTTCAGTACGAATGATGTATTATTTTTATCATGTTGATTACATATGTTCACCAGTTTAGTTGTCCATAGATGCTTGGTGTGGTCTGCAAATACTCAGTGACAAAATCCAGAGCATGGCATTTTCACAGAAAGTGTTTACTGTGAAATTTCTCCTTAGAAGTTTGCTTTTCTTTACAGCTTTGATCCATATGACATCCACAGTCCTACATTTCAAATAATGGCTTATAGCTAAATTAAGAAAATGTTTCAATTTGATACAACATGACTACAGTAGGATGTGGTAGTTCTGGAAAGAACCTCTTTTTCCTATGTGATTAGAGATTTGGTCAAATTTAAAGTCTGCTAAACTTTTCCAAACTGCGCTTCTTCAGCTTTATGGTGACTCGGTGCTTACATTCTGTTATTCATCAACACTTCACAGAAATACTTGATTTGTCTGAATGAATTTAAAAACCCACAACTGAAGAAAATCAGAAAAACCTGGTTTTAAATATCAAAAGATTCCAAATGAAAAGTATTTCTGCAGGCCACACTAAGCAAGTTTTATTGATCAGTGTACTTCTTTGCAGGATGAAATTGTTGCAAGATTGAACGTAAGAAAATGAACTTACTGGTAAATATCTTTCCTGAGGACAGATCTGCCAAGGGGATTGTCAGCTTGGGGAGCCATAGCAACAGAGCCAATCTTCAAAACCATGGTGTCTTCTTTTGCTGCCTGATTAACTGTAACAAGAGAAATAGACTCATGAAGTATACACTGGGTCTGTGTGTAACTTCATGCATAAGGAGAAATCTTTGAATAATGGTGTAGAGACACATTAAGATAAAAACCAATAAAGGAGGACAAGGAAAAAATTACATTAAAAATAAAAATATTTGATGCTTTTTAAAACTATTTCCTTTACATCCCATTAAGTAGTTTTCTCTTATACACGATTAAAATGGCAATTAAAAAAAAAAACCAACTCCACCCCAACATTAAAACACATGATGTTAAATACATATAAGTAGTGCTGAAGTAATATGTTTATCAAATTTCATAATCTTAGACTACTACCTCTTTCTCCCAAGTGATTGTCAGCCCTAGGATTTTTAACATTGCGTTGCTGTGTACAAATATATTACTGTCTACAAATATATTGAAGATCACCACAAAGTCAGGAACAGATTCTCAAAGCCATTTAAATTTACATGATAAATAATAATGAAATACAATATACACACACAAACACAGTAACAGCACTTTAAGCTATTAACACGTCATAAGACCCAAAGGAAACATAATGGCTGCAATGGTGAAGAAAGAAAAAACCAAGGGATTGTTTACTATACAAGGACATTTCAACTTGCTATTCTAGGCGCTTTTTAAGTTTAATAATTTCTACCGTGAAATTGCTTGAGAAGTAGTAATTTCACACCTATGTAAAAGTTCTACCTCCTAATGGAATCTATCACTAAGGTAAGTAATCTCAAAAACAATAAAAAATTAATATATATATGTGTGTATATCTATATAAATCGATTCCAATCCTTTGTACTGAATAAAGCAATGTTTTACCATGTTCTTATCTTATAAAGTTCAACAATTTTTCCATAAATCACTGGCTAATCCAACGTCTTTTCTAAGGACTATTTGAAATGGAAAGGGGTTCTTCACTGCCACATTAATTTATATTAAATTCTACTTCTCCAACAGATGATCTCACTGTAGTAGCTGCTTAAAAACTGTTTAAAATTGCTAACAATATACAACTTTCTGGGTTTTGAAGAAAACATGTACTAAAACTCATAATTTCTCTCAAGAAACTATCATCTGCCACAAATGGAACAGAAAAGGACTGGCTGCAAGATCCCAGGAATATCCTGAACAGAACATGCCTACAAAGGCATACAATCCATATTTTGCAAACTGTGGTGCCCAAAGAATGCAAAAGCTAAGAGATTATTTCCAGCTGCTTCAGGAGTACACTCAGTACGGTCTGACTTAGATTAGTCTAAAGAAGAAAGTCAGAATTAAGAAAATCAGAAAAAGGTAGAAGAAAGATATTCAGTGAGGAAAAGAAGGCATCAGAAGAAGATGCACACAAAGGAAGTGGCAAAACAGCTGGGAGGTGGAGGTCAGAAGGACAGAAAAAGGGAAAAAAAGAGATGAGCTATCACAATAAATATTAGCATGTGGATGCTACAATAAAGACAGTACCTTTAAATGTCCACAGCAAAAAAGATCAAACGGAAAACTACTTCTCATGCAGCTGTACTATTTTCAAATGACTAGAGGTCTGGCTTGATTATAGGTCCTTATTCTATGAACACTGTTTACATTTCACAGATCTTGCATTTTATGCCAAGCTTATCAAATAGTTCCATGTGGGTAAAACCTCTGATTAAGCAGCAGGCATCAATTAAATCAATAAATAGTAAGCCCGGAGAATAGACCATACCACAAAAGTGCAATTAGTGTACTTGCTAACTGTTCTCCCAGGCTGCAGATACTACCCACCATATGAAAGCCTGAAATGTAATAGAAACACTGCAGTAAATGAGGTACATATGGAAGAAAAATGACGTACTTGGTGTTACATACAAAGCCAGATCCAAGAACAGAATTCTGTTTCTGTTAGAGCCAAAAGTGTTCTCACTAGATTATACTGACTATAAAGTTATAATAATAAAAAAAGCACTTAATGCAGATCATTCACAAACTAAATAAAAATAATCTTATTTTAGAAGGTATCTAGCTTATCGAAATCTACCTCTGAGATATAAGAAAAAATAATAAAAATAAGTATTTATACAAAAAAATGCCTTTATTCAGTTCTTTAGTTACTTTATAATTGGAAAAAAATAAGCTTCCCCTTTTTTGGTTTATTTCACCTGCATTCAATAGTTGGACCATATGAGGAAATGTTCCCTCTAGATGCATTTTCAACATGAAAATGAATGCCTTCATTCTTTGCTTGAACTGTATTTTTTAAAATTTAGGCTCATGCAGAACTACTTACTCTAGAAGACTCATACTAGATCCAAAAAACAGTCCACTATTCTGAAATAAATAGCTTAAACTGGAAGTCAAAACACCTGTAGATTCAGGATCCTGATAATGTTTGCACATAATGCAAACAATATTCAAGTTGAAAACCAGACTTTCAATATCATTTGTTTAAATAAAATATTAGAATGTTAAATATATTTTTCTTATTATTAACTGATTTTACACATGAACTATTAGAAACTTTTACATTTAATGTAATTGAAATGTAAGTCTGAAAGATTTTATCTTTTCTTGGGGCAAGAGAGTATGTATTGAAAATGAAAACGTTATGAACAACTCTGAAGTTATGAGCTTAAGTAACCAAAAGATTAAATAAAGAGGAGAATTTCCCTGCAATTGTCAGATAACATAAGACTGTTGCTTATAAATTAGTTTTCTTAAATCCAACAAGAAATAAAAGTGTTTTGGAGACTTCAGCTTTTTTTTAAGATTCTCAGTATAAACTTGACACAGTAAAACATCTAAAGGCTCAAGAGTATTTGAACTTGCCACTGTGCAATGTTATACTTTTATAAAGTCCTAACTGTAGTGAGAACCCTACACAAAGCTATTAACAAAAGGTTTTAATAGTTATTGCCGTATTTGCAATACAGAAGAAGACAGAAAGAAGGTTCAAAAAAACCTTGTGACCGTCATGTTTACTAATGGGAAATATAGTTGCATCTATTTTGCCAATTAACTCTGATCTACAGGCACAAATTGCTTGGAGATATTGCTTATAATACAGTTTCTGCTGAGAAGTACAGATATAGCAATATTTAGCTATGCAATCACACTCATTAAAACATAATTTACACATATACTTTAATCTGATACAGATATAACTCAAGCAAACTTTTTAACATCTTTCTGGAGTAAAATGAATACTACCCTCTTGACTCTTACTAGATCTCATTGGAGTCATGTAAGTAATTATATTTATTTCTAATGAAATTGCTGCTTCAATCATGTTTTCCTTAGTCACATTATATCTTTTAAAATGCATTAAATGAAAACATTCAGTCTCCCAAATAAAATATACATTTAAAAATTTGTCTACACTTCAAAATGACTAAAATGGTAAATTTTACGTTATATGCATTTTACTGCATTGAAAAATTTTTCATGGGTGAATTATCATTCAAATTAAGAGTAGCAACAATTAAAGTGTCAAAAATCTAATAGAATGTGCCAAAATCTTTGAATTTTCGGCATGCATTTTTATAACTGTGTTTTATAGACAGGCACATATTCTGGAAATTCATTACTTCTCAGAGATGGTATAGATAGAGATGTAAGTACAGCTGACCCTTGAACAACATGGGCTTGGACTGTGTGGGTCCATTTCTATGTATTTTTTTTTAAATATACTGGAAAAAATTTGGAGATATGCAACAATTTGAAACAAAGACAAATTGTGCAGCCTAGAAATACTGAAACAGTTAAGGAAAAGTTAGGTATTATTATAAGAATACCACATGTAATACATATAACGTACAAAATATGTGTTAAATGTTCATGTTATTGGTAAGGCTTCCCATCTAAGCAATTAGTAGTTAAGTTTTTGGGGAATCAAAAGTTTTGGGGAGTCAAAAGTTATACATGGATTTTCAACTGTGGGGGTGGGAGGGTTAGTGCCCCTAACCTCTGCATTGTTCAAGGGTCAACTATACAGGCCTAAGTAAAGATATATACATGTAGATATAAATATAGATATACACATAGACATAGACACACATAGAGGTAGAGGGGAAAAAAAAGAAAAAAGATGTACGCAATACAATGTAGGCCAGACAAAAGACTTAATACACAAAGAGCTCTTATTAAGTGATAAGGAAAAGATGAGTAACAACTTAGAAAAAGAGTGTACTTTTCATTAATGAACCTGACAAAAACCTGAAAACTCGGTTAGGATGAGAGTAAGGAAACAGAAAACTGGTGCAGCTACTTAGAAGGGCAATTTGACATTTGACATCCCTTAACATTTTAAAGGTACATGCTCTTTGATCTAGTAATCCTTTTGCTAGAAATTTATTTATATACATTCTCACCCAAGTCATGAAAAAATGCCACTAAAAAGGTGTTTATTGCAAAAAGTTTATATAAGCAAAAGATTAAAATTAACCACAGTTCACAGAGAAACATGGCAGACTATATTTTCCAAATGGCCATAACAATATGCATCCTTTTCTGTATGCTCTTATTCAGGTTACCTGCTTAGGAAGTACTTAGGCATCTGAATTTTGAAATTATACCTTAAAAATCCCACCACAACCACCATTAAAAAGACAGAAACAACTTTAAAAATAAGATAAAAGTCTGGAAAGATTTTTGCAATTACAATCAATTGGGGATTTTTCTAGTTACAGCAGCTGAATGGGAATTTTAAAACTTTTAATTTAACGCAGGAAGCCAAAAAACAACAAACAAGACAAAAATGCAAAAGAAATCAAGAAATAAAGCGTTTTTTCTCTCCATTTTCTCAAAGAGCCAGGTTTTTATTCCTTCTGACATGTACACAAATCAGTGAAGTACAGAACCTGCTTCAATAAACCACTGCTGTGTAGGAAAAAAAAACGAAGCTAGAGTTCCCTACTGAACTTCTGACCTCTGTCTTACTGCAGAGGTGCTCAGGTGCTCAGTGTAACCATGCTCCCATCTGCACTAAGAGTGAGCCCTCTTATTGGCCAAACTATGCCTGCACATAAGTGTTGTTCAGAAAATACCACAAATCCTGCCTTTGTCAAAAAGGCATCCAAATAGACCGGAGGTTCCTCAAAAACAAAGAATTCTAATACAGAATTACCATATGATCCAGCAATTCCATTCCTAGGTACATATCCACTAGAAGTGAAGATGGGCTCCAACAGACACCTGTATGACAGTGTTCATGGCAGCATTACTCATAATAGCCAACTCAACGCTGGAAACAGCCCAAGTGTCTGATAGATATAAGTTAACAAAACGTGGTACATCCATAAAGTGAAATATTATCCAGCCATAAAGATGAAGTTCTGATACATTCTACAATATGGATGGACCTTAAAAACATCACGCTAAGTGAAACAAGCCAAATATTCATGATTCCACTTATATGAAATATCCAGAATAGGCAAATTCATAGAGACAGAAGGTAAATTAGAGGTTATCAAGGGCTGGGAGAGTTATTGCTTAATGGCAACAGAGTTTATTTGTGATGATGAAAACATCTTGGAAATAGTGGTTATGGTTGTAAAATACTGTAAATGTAATTTATTCCATTAAGGTACCCCTGAATAATAACAAATGGAAAAAAATTTGGTTATATGTATTTTACCACAATAAAAAAAAAAATGAAAAAAAAAAGACTTCTAATTCAATGATCAAGACAATTTACATTTTACACGTAATGTCTGTCTTAAGAAGAAACATTTAACATTATAGATAAGATCCTCCTAGCGATGACCACCTAAGGGCATGACACTGACATGGATGGTGAAAATTAGTTTGTCATGTAAATTTCTCTCACATGTATTGTTACAAAAATTTTATTCAAAGGAGCCCTAGAATGAACATCTAAACTGAAATGAAAAAACAATGCACTGTGAAAATGCCCCTGTATTAACAAGTACCAGTCAAAGACATCCCAAATCATTCAGTACATCAAACAGATAATATTTTACGATGAATAAGCAAAAGTTGAATGCAGATCAAATGTGCACACTGAGAAACAGCTATGTCTGATTCTGGACGATTTACCAGTATAAACACTACTGAACATCTATTTAAAAAGTCTTAGCCATACTGGCACGTCTTGAAAAAGCGACATACTGATGCTGCTTTATATTCTAGGCCTAATTTCAAAACTTAAGTGGGAGATGAAGCATATACACTATGTTTATTTATTTATTTATTTATTTAGATTTTATTTATTTGAGAGAGAGACAGAGATAGTGAGAGAGAGAGCACAAGTGGGGAGGAGAGGGAGAAGCAGGCTCCCCACAGAGCAGGGAGCCCGATGCGGGACTCGATCCCAGGACCCTGGGATCATGACCTGAGCCGAAGGCAGACACTTAACCGACTGAGCCACCCAGGCGCCCCTACACTGTGTTTATTTTCTTTTTATTTGTATTTGTGATCACTATTGATATTTTAGATGTGAAATTTAAGGTTTGAAACCTTAAATTAAAATAGCACTAGGGATATTAGAGGAAAAAGGATTCAATTTAGGATCAGTTAACATGCAATTACTATTTAGAGACCAGTTCAGTCCTATGATTTGAAGGTCATTTGTAATTCCTGAACACTTCTATATCAGTACTAAAGTATCACAAAGTCAGAAAGGTTGCTTTGCTTCCTGATTTGTCTGCATGACCTTTCCCAATTTTTTCATACAGCCCTCTTTCTGTACTTCTCTCCACCTCATCCTAACTTTTCATCTCCTATAAAACTTTTTTTCTTAGGTCTCAATGAAGTTTTGGCCTTACCAATTGTTTACATTCAAATAAAAATAATTAGAAAATTATGGAAATATAAAATACACACTACAAAGAATTTTCAGGAAATCACAAAAGCTTACTAACGTATCTTATTTTAAGTGAAATTACAGAAACTCACTCTGGTTAGGAAAATAAATGCTTTTATACTTACCAGAGAGACAGCTAGAAAACAATATCCTTAATTGTTAAAAAAAATTTAGAACTTTTTATAATATAGATATGACTTTATTCTTATTTTTATCTAGATACAAATTTTCTGCCATTTTAATGGAAAAAGTTATAGATACTGTGATATAATGTTTTTGAAAGGTAAGGGACTACTTCAAACTTTTACCAAAATAATCATGTTTCCTCTAATAACAAAGCCAAACTACTGCTTCCATAGTGTTTTCCCCCTACTTTCAGCTGAAAAGTCCAAAAGATGGCTTGAAAATCTCCCTGACCTTTTATGTCTATTCTCTGCTTGTGTGGTTATGAGAAAATGTTATTATGACACTCAAACTAGTTCTCAGAGAGCTAAATTATTTAAAAATATAGGTTTCTTTTTGGGGCACCTGGGTAGCTCATTTGATTAAGTGTCAGACTCTTGGTTTTGGCTCAGGTCATGATCTCAGGGTCCTGGGATGGAGTCCTGAGTCAGGCTCTGCGCTCAGCAGGGAGACTGCTTGAGATTTTCTCTCCTTCTCCCTCTGCCCCTCCCCCTGCAGGTGCGTGCATTCTCTCTCTCTCAAATAAATAAATCTTTTCAAATGTCCCCTCTAAGACTGTATGGTGACTAACATAATAAAATTAAATTAAATTAAAAATAAATAAATAAATATAGGTTTTTCTTAAACCTACGTAACTTTAATATAAATTATATTATCTAAACATTTATTAGATACTCACATAATAAAGAATAACAAGGAAAAAGCATAAAGGTCAGTGTCTCTGCAATGAATATGCAGCTTTTCTGGTTAGCGGTTTCCTCTCAGATCACTTGTAATTGCTCAGTGAAGACTAACTTTATTTTTTACCATTCATGTGTTTCTACAAACTATCTGAATAAATGAAAACAACTGTATAGTGCTATCAGAATACAGTGATGCAGAGAGTACTAATTTATCTCAAAGTAATTAACTTTATGATAGCTCTTAGCAAAAACCAGAAGGAAAAGAATAGGAACTAGCTTGTATTAAAAATCCATTAAGTATAATATGCTGAATTTATCTCTAGACATCTTTGTAATTAAGAACTATAAAGCTCTACAAATATATTTTTTATTTATAGAAAAAAAATTTTTAGAAGGACCATTACTTTGAGCAAAACTGAATTATTTATGATGTTAGGCAGAATAGTCTTCCCTATGTGTTTGCAGACAGAACAAGAGATAGACTAGACTCCAAGAAGAAAGAGAATGGAACTTGGTGCTTTTCTTTTTTTTAATTTACCATCCCTGATCATTCAAGCTCTTCCTCCTCCACATCAGGACTAAAAGGAAAAAAAAGCTCTACTGTTCTCACGTGGCAGAAGCTGTTACTTATCCCTCTGATAGCATTCTCTCTTCTTTCTCAAATTCACAGGGCCTTAATTTATGAGCAAGGTACCCTACCACTTAGGGAAACACTGTTTCTTAGGCTCTCTCACACTGGGGTGTAGCCATATGACTAAGTTTTGGCCAATGAAGTATAAGCAGTAGCGAAATGTGGGACTTCCCAATATTCTACTTTGAAAGAACGGGCACACCTCCTCCTGATTCAACTCTCATTTATTGAGAGCTTACTAAGCAAGTGGCACTATTCACATAGTCTCAATGCAGTCATCACTGGAAAGTAAGCTATCAGGAAGGCCTATCAAGTTAAATACCAATATTACCATTTTATACATAGGAACTCAGATTAACTTGCTCAAGATTTTATACTTCATAACTAGTAAAGCTGGGATTTGAACTCAGGTCTCTGTAACTCCGAAGTTCATACCATGTGAACCGCTGTACTCTAATTTCACTCAAAATTCTGAAAGTTCTTCACTGTTTTATAGTACAGGGGAAACTAAAAATTTAAAAGTTACTCTCATGGGTGGAAGCAATGGGATTATAAATTCACTTTATTTTAAAACCTAAAATAATCTGCACCGAGAAGCCTAGAAGAAGCCACAGGAGCCTTGGAGTGTTGGCTATTTTTTAAAAAACTAATTTCTGGTTACCTTGTATATGGAACCTAACATTTGAGTTTAATAAAACAAATGACAGTAAGCATAAGCTTTACTAGCAAAAGCCCCGACGAAAAAAATCATTTCTTATTCTGTAACTAATTGAGTCAGAAACATACCCAGTATTCTGACATATCTCCTGAAGATTTAGTTGTAGAATGACTATTACATATTTACTTTTTCTAAAACACACCGAAGTGCAAAATACAACCACTAACCATATTAAAAAAAAAAATAGGAAACTAAAACCCCCAAATGGAAGTTATGTAAAATCAGACCAAAAAAAATCTGAAGACAATACCTTCAATACTTGGCTGCATTTCTTCTGTTTTTGGAACAAAAATTCTGATTACACTTGTGTTGATATAAATCAAAGGTAAACTGCGTGAAGTCAAGGTATGGCTCCTCATGGGCTGACCAGGAGATTTTCTTTTCTCTTTTTGGGTCCTTGGTAGTTTTGCTTGAAATATACTTGCAATGGCATTAAGCAAAGGAAAGCAAAGGACAATATCAAAAGCTTGTGCTGAAAGAAGAATTTCATGAAGAAAATGAGGGGAACCATCCGTTAAACCTTCAGATAACTTATGAAAACTTCTTCGCTCATTTCTTGATGTTAACTTGTGGCGGACATTTTTTGTTACAGCTTTTGTGTATGTCAAAGAGAGAAATCCATGCTGCTGATGAGAGCCATCTAGAAGTTTTGCTGTTGTCTGTTCCAGAAAAAGGAAATCACAATACACACTTCATTAAAAAAAGAAAAAAAATTATTTGGAAGCAGAAAATAATCTCAGTTGGTATTATAATCTTTTATTATGTCTATAACCCTTGATGAGCACATTACTGATCAATTCCAAGGATGGGGAAAACCATCTAAGACTTAGAATGACTCAAAAGAAAATTAGAAAATCAGGAATCCCGAGTTCTAGTTCTAGATCTTGAGAGGCAATTAAACTTTGTTGTGTCTGGGTCCATGATTTCTAAATTTTCTGTAACTTTCAGAATTTGGAACAAGTCATCCCTGGATTTTATCTTTTCATTCTTGATAATTCTTCATTGAAAGTACCAATATGCTGTTGTAACATGGGTCACAGAGAGATTGTTTATGCAGATGAAACTGAAATAACCATGTTACATATTTCCACTTGTAATCAACAACCTGAATAGAAAAGATGATTGACTTCCCTTGACCTAACACTTATGAGAACAGTTTTTCCTTAGATAATGTGGCTAATTTATACGATGACTGAGCCCATAAAAAGAGCCTCATTGATACCATGCTTTGATAACTAAACCAACCATTTAATGCATGTTTACTGGAAACAGTAACGTAACACAAAAATAAAACATCTGTCTTTTAGAACCTGCTTATTTTCACTGGCTATCATATTGTTTGTAAAACCTAACTATCAACTCTCTTACAACTCAAACTCATATCTTGGGTCTAATGTTATATTAATATGCACACAACATTTAAGTAAAAATTATATCATTAAAACAATATTTCTGACAAAACTTGTCCGCTTAACTTATATTCAGATGACACACTATAAACAAATTATAGTAAAACAGCATACTTTTAAGAGTGAAGTAAAATGCATACTTTGTATTTGTCAACATATGAAAAGGACAGCTCTTGAAAGTTTTCCCGAACCAATAAATATACATAAAATCCTATTTTGTAAATTACTCAACATAAAATTAAAGTTAAGTTGTTATACTCCACATTTCCAACCTCTCTTCCCAGGGCCTGATAAAGTTTTTAGGTTACTAGGGTCCAATGTGTGATGTCAAGAGAGGAAGTAAACTGAGAAGGAAGAACAAACAGGAAAAAAGTGAGAGTGGCAAAGTGGCAATGTGTTGGGACCTACGTCATGCCAGCACTAGGGAAGCTCTTTTGCTTCCATTCCTTCCTCTCATGTTGCTGCCTGTCATCCAGTGACACAGCGGGAGGAAAAGAGTATGCAATTCCGCTGTCACTGTTTTTTTTTTTTTTTAAAGATTTTATTTATTTATTTGACAGAGAGAGACACAGTGAGAGGGAACACAAGCAGAGGGAGTGGAAGAGTGAGAAGTAGGCTTCCGGCAGAGCAGGGAGCCCGATGCGGGGCTCGATCCCAGGACCCTGAGATCATGACCTGAGCCGAAGGCAGCCGCTTAACCGACTGAGCCACCCAGGCACCCCCTGTTAATTTTGTTTTTAATCTGGACTTTACAACAAAGAAGGGTGAGATAAAATTTATCTTTGTATATGTTCTTTTTTAACCTAATTTTCTGACCATTAAAAATAACTTGGGAGATAGGCATTAAATGGATGTACAAATAATCATATTTCATATAACTGTCCTGCCCTCAGAACATTTTTTTAACCGTTCCCAACTTTCTCGTTGCCTCTCTGATTTCTCTTTCCTTTTGCTTTCTACACTCAAAAAGAAATACAGTAAAACAGGAAAAAGTGCTACCAGTCTTATCACCATCTTGCTGGACAGCAGGAAACACTGGATGGAGAAGGGTGGCTGGGGTATGGCCGCTCAGCAACACTGTCTTTAGGTCTCTAAACTGGACTTGGGGGGAGGGGGCGGAACAGCCATCAACCACCAATCTACATAACCTTGCTCAAATAATCCTCATAATGGCAACACATGAATCCTGGAAAAAGCATAAAAGGTGTTTCACTGTATAAACGCTTTGATTTGGAAAATATCTTTTAAACATATTGAATGTAGGTACTCTTAAAAGGTAAACTCCCATGAGAGAAAGTTTGCTGAACTGCTGCATCTTTAATTCCCTTAATGTAAGAGGGAAAAAAAAAAATAAAAGAATCAATGAATACTGGCTGGAGTTGAGATACTGTAAATATTACTTTTCATACAGTAATATTTATTCTCTTTAAAATGAAAATAATATTATTCTCTTTAAAATGAAAAGTTAGAAAATTAAAGAAATATTAGAAAAAATTTTAAAACTTCAGAAAAACTGATGAAGAAAACTTTTAAAGGGCATTAATAAATAAGTGGGGTTTTTCATGAATATACATTAAAATTATTCAAAATATAAAAAAAAATTAAGAATGTTTCTCATAGACACTAATAACATTCAAAGAAATGAAAATAAATCTGAACAGAACTTTTGCTGATATAAAAGCCACATTTAGAGACATCTTTTTCCAGACTAAAATTCCAGAAAAAAATAAAAAATCAAAAAAGAAACTAGCATTTGCCATGCAAATATAATACCAAACATTAAATCTAGGAACACAATTAGTTAAAATATTTGGTTAATTTTTATCATTTTTTTTTAAAGATACAGGTCTTAAATTCCTTTTGAGCTACAAAAAAAGAGGAAATAGTTCCCACATGCTAAGAAAATATCTAATAATGTTTGCAGTGATTTAATAAATTCTTAAGAGAACTGTTATTACCACTGTTGATAATCTGGTCTTAATATTTTAAAATTACATGCATTTGCATTGACTTTAAGAATGTCATTTAAAAGAATTAGCTTAATAACATATCCAGATATATTGTACCACTAGAAAAAACAAGGTTCTAAACTTCTAAAAGCCACTGGTGTACAGTCTAGTATTCATCTTCTATCTGGTCAATGACAGGCATGCAGCCTTTTCCAGTTTCAAGAGGTCACCAAGTAAGGTATTTGAATTAGTTGTGAGAAGGAAATGGCGTAATTGAAAGGGGGGAAAAAGCAATCCAAGTAAGAATCATAAAGGAAATGACAAAGCAGTTTAGTCAACTCTTGATCATTCAAAACATGCACAATTTAAAAAACATTATACTTAATGTCCTACATTTCGATTTTCTTGTGCTGATGGTAAAATTAGGTTGTAATCACAAAACCAGAGTGAAAAACAGGATATGCAAGTAACCCAGAAACAAATTAGATTGTAGTGGAAAACCAGTGTATGATTTAAAAGTACAGTAGAGTTCATTGACAAAGTGGATGATACAGAGGAAGATGAAAATCAAGAGTTGACTCTATGGATAGTTCAATTCCTTCTCTGGATTCCTGTTAGTGGGAGTTCTGTAGCATAATTTTAAAATGATTTCTTACAGAAGGAAAGAAGCCAGAGCAATTACTGAAAGGGTCCTGCTTGCTGATGGGTCGAACCAACAAGGTGCGTCTGTTCAGCTTGTCAGTACAGGAAAGGAAGACACCTCCACATTGCCCCAGAGACCAACACTCTTCCCCAAGGCTTGAGGTGATGGACAGGAGCAAAGAAGGTGAAAAGACAAAAAGCAATAAAAGCCATAAGCAAAAAAATCTAGATAGTTTTAATTTTGCTGCAGTCTGCATAGGTTTACGTTTGAGCCACTGCTAGGTATGGCTTCTGTCTGGACCATCTTCTGCAAAAGCATTGTTAATGGAAGTAAATGAAAAATAATTGCTTTTAGTGTAAAGTGACTACTTTTAGTTTAGATAAAGGACAATCCAACAAGAACTCATTTATGAATAGGAAAGTCAACATAATAATACATTAATGATAAAGTATTTTAATAAAAGCAATCCTACCTTTGCTGTTTGAAAAATTTACTTAATACCTAGAATAGGAAAATGGTTACAAAACACAAGCAGTTTAGAGGAATAGTTTTATTTTATAATGTAATTTTGGAAGAATAGGTCAAAAAGAATTTACTCTGAGCTTTAATTCTTGTAACCATTAGTCCTATTGCATGAAAGAACAAAGATAAAACAGTTTACAAGATATTTTTAAAAAATCATAATTACTAAATGAGTCTCACCACAGGTTTTTCTTTGCACTGCAGAAATACTCCTTCAAAATGTCCTGACTGCCAACCTTCCCCTGGCCTGGAAAACATAAGTTCACCTTATCTGTTCTCTTCAATTTTTCTGAGTTAAAAAATCGAGCATATATAACTATTTCAAATAGTTATTATGTAAACAACACTACACTGAACTAAAACATGGATCTGACAATGCAATTAAGAACAATTTATATTAGCACCACACCCTGGTCATTTTGCATAGAAGCATTTGTCTTAATGGTAAAACTGTATACTTACTGATTGGTTATTTATTTCTATCTCATCCATGAAACTGTAAGGCCCATAAGGGCATGACTGACGTCTATTTTTCTCAAACACTATATCCTCAGTGCTTAGCACATGCACATAATATACACCCAATAAATATTTTGACTAAGTGAATGAATAAATTATTTAAAACTTAGATAAATTTGACAGTAAAGTCACTGATGATCTAGAAGACACATTATAATATTCACATCATCAGGAAATGATTTCAGCTATAACATAATAATCATGTATCACCTGCAAAAATCACTTTTATATAGAGATATGCTATTCAGGAGGACCTAAAGAACTAAACATTCCATTATCAAAGATCAATTAATGATTCATGGTTAATGCAACAAAAACAATTATATGCTTTGTAATATACTATCAATAAAACAGATTTTAATATATAGCCAGCAAAATATTTTGAACTTCACAATTACGACACAATGTTTTGGCTGGACAGATTTGATAGTCATTGACATAAGCAATACAATATATGTGATAAGCAATGTGATAAAGAATCAAAATTCAAATTTTTTAATGTAGAATAGGAAACATGTTAAATAAAAAACATTCTCCTTCTATGGTCTATGATGTACCAATAAAGGTACAGAAACATATGTACTTCTGAAGGCTCTCAATAAATAACTGCTGAATGAATATTATAAATGCAGAGAAAAAATAAACTTTAAGACTGTTTCTATACCCATATGAAATTGAAAATGATGTTTCAAAATTTTTTAAAATGTGTGAATTTTATGGTATGTAAATTATAATTCAATTTAAAAAATACAAATTCCAGAGTAGTTTTCTAAAGCAAAAACACACAAAAACAAAAAAACACAAAAAGCATTTGTTATTTTTATTTGGGAAAAATTAATGACAAAATTGCTATGCATCTTTAGAGTGAAGATATCTAAAACTTTACTTTTTTACTATCATTATTTATTATCATAAACAAATATGTATATATTAAACATAATTTAAGCATAAATTATATTTTTTTACATCATACTTTTGATAGAAATTTACTAGGGAAAGGAAAATTTGATTCTAGGAATATCCACCACATGTGTATTAATCAAATGTGAGACAAGAAAAGTCTCCAAAGTACAAAGGGCCATGAGCTGTCACTATTCCATTTCAATCTGTGATTATTCTAGTATGGGGAGTAGATGGGGAGTAAGCTTATTTCATTTAATATGGCAATATGGTATTTGTGAACAGATCTGCCATCTTATGAAACAAAACTTTGTTATATTCCATATATGAACGAATTCCAAGGAAAATTGATCAATTTATCTGTTAAGAACCCTTTCTGGAAATAAGTACAGTATTTTTTAGAAATACCCAAATTAAAATATAAAAATTCTTATATAAACTGTGTTCAAAGAAAGTATAGCTTTTCCCATATTTCTTATACATTATTTACCTGCTTCTATAGTGATCAATATTGAAACTTTCTATTTTACATTTCACTTTGGTATATACATCCTGAACATCTATGGAAGCACTGAGATCTTCTAGTTCACTGACCATACAAAGCTCTGCAATAAGAAGCAAACATTAAAATCAGCATAGGCCTCACAATCAATATTAAAACCTTCTATTTTAGTTTTAATGTTCACATATTTATTCTTGACATCTACAGAGGAAATGAGACTTTCTCTTCATTAACCACACAAGATTCTACAATAATAAGGAAAAGTAACATCAAAAGAGCCCTCACAATTAAGACAGGATACCTATTTCAAGACAGAAGAAATCCATTAATGTTTAAAGTGCTGTATCTGGTATCACTGCAATACTTTCAGTGACAATGATAAAATGCATCAATATAATCAATGAAAAATTACCTAATGGCTTTTGGAATGGATTTTAACATAAAAAGACAAAATTTAGGTATTATATTCAATATATTAGTATTGCTAATAGAAATCACCTAAGTTAGAGCTAATGATGTTTGTTTAAGTGACAGTGATAAATAAAACTAAAGTCTACTATTTCTTCTAAAAATAGTTTTAGTATTTTATCTTTTCAGTAGAGGAGAAAAGTAACCCTGTACCTGTGCCTTTATTTTCAGGATCTGGAGCAAAGAGTTTTATAGTAATTTTGGGGAGCACCCACTGCATCCACAGACTAACACGTCCACTGGATCCACCAATGTTACTTGTAGTTTGTTCCAGGGTAATAGAATCCGAAAATGGTGAATCATCACCTGCTTGTATGGAATCTCCCTGGGATGAGAAAAAACAACAACTGTTTAACAAAAATAACTTTAAAAAATTATATAAAATTTGAAATTACCACTGATAACTTTTCCGTAACATATATTTGCTAGCAATAATCATATAAATGCTTATGCTAATACATGATGTTAATAATATATATACTAATCACATGTTTTTTATAGTTACAATGTCCATGCATGTCATTCCAATCTCCTCAAGAGTTCATAAGATCCAGAACAAGTTTGGGTTGTACCAATGGGTATTTCCTTAGAGAGTAGGGTCTGCAAGCTAAGCTATAGCCAAGGGCCAAATCTTGTTCTACTTTTGGAAATAAAGTTTTACTAGATCACAGTCATATTCATTCATTTACCTATTGCCTATGGCTGCTATTTAGCAGTTAAGTAGTTTCTGTAGAGATGCTATGGTCCACAAAACCCAAAATATTTACAATCTAGCCATTTATAGAAACAGTTTGTCTACCCCTGCTATACAGCACTTAAGTGAATCTACAATATCCATAGCAAAATGATTAGCATAATTAGCATGGCTTAAGAGACAGAACACTTATCATGCCTCCCATATTTTAATATAAGAAGACATTAAAAAGGTAGATTTGACATATTTTTTTTAAAAAAGTTTTTAAGTAATCTCTACACCCAACATGGGGCTTGAATTTACAACCCTGAGATAAAGAGTCACATGCCCTACCGACTAAGTCAGGCAGATGCCCCATCAATAGATTTTTAAAAATGATTTATAGGTAAAGAGCATGAGCTTATTCAATTCAACAAATATATAATGAATTATGAATATGTAAGTTCCTACATTTGGTACTAACAATCTTTCTGGAAAAAGTTCATTTGGTCATTGTTGTTTTTGTTAAATCTTTTCAGCAGCTGTTAAGTGGTCTGGAGAAAAATAAATCCTGGTATTGAGTTGAACAGCTTCAGCCTCCAGGGCAGGAAGACATGGTGCCAGGGATAGTGATCAGTCAGTCATGCATTCTGTTCTGTTCTTTCAGTATTTGGGTTTTTAAAATTCCAACTTCACTGTCCATTTAAACCCTTCAAAAATACCCATTATCTGAGAACTGATCACATACCTTATAGCATGCTTATTTGTTTAAAAGATGCGTATATATTTTTAAACATTAGTTATATGTACTTAAACTCCGTCTGGTAGGCAGCATGGTATACTAGGGTTAAGGACTTCTTCAGACCCTAACCATGGGATTTAACCTCTTGGAGTTTGTTTCCTTCTCTGCAAAATGGTTATTTTGATATTTATCTCTTAGAGTTGTTAAGAAGTAAGAACAGAAATGTAAAGTGATTACATATAGTAAGCAATTTGTAAGTAGTAGGTATAATTATCACCATCAAACTGAACCACTACTTAGAAACTGTACACTCACAAGTCTTACAGAATTTGGTATTCAGTACTCTCTTGCCTTTCTCATTTTGTCTTTCTAACTTCAGCACATTTTCCTTTGCCATATATCCTCAACTTCTAATAGTTCATTGTTGCTTTGGATGTCTCAAACAAAATGTTCACTTCCTATGCTAAGGAGTCATGACCAGTAGTCAACAGCCAGAACAAAACATCCTTAAAATTTAATAAGAAGACAACATAACATGGTGAGTATACTGTTTTCTATGGAGAGTTTCTCAGAGCAGAAGCCACTAATCTGGCAACTAAGAAAAGGGAAGATAAGTAAAACCTCATACAAAACAAAACCAAGGGCACCTGGGTGGCTCAGTCATTAAGCATCAGCCTTCAGCTCAGGTCATGATCCCAGGGTCCTGGGATCCAGCCCCGCATTGGGCTCCCTGCTCGGCGGGAAGCCTGCTTCTCCCTCTCCCACTCCCCCTGCTTGTGTTCCCTCTCTTGCTGTGTCTCTGTCAAATAAATAAATAAATAAATAAAATCTTTTAAAAAAATAAACAAAACCAAAATTTCTGCTCTCATTACCACAGATAGACCATCTACTCAGATATATTCAGTGCCTACATGAAGTGTTTACCTTCACCTAAGATTTACAATACCTTTCAATCAGAAGGAGAATTTAATTTCCTTGAATCCCCAGAAGGAGACCAAATGAGGATGCTTTTCACAAAAGAACAGACAAGTACTTATTGTTGGAATACTTAGGCACCAGGCACAGCAAAGCAGAAGTTGCCTGTGATTTACTGTGACAGAAAATTATAGACTTAAATCTGAAGACAGTGTAGTCGTTCCTTGTTCCACTTATACCAAGTAAAGCAGACAGCTCACTGTGATGTTTTCATATAAATGTTTTTCCAAAATAAGTAGTCCTAACTCTGCTATAATTGAAATTCTTACAATTTGAGAAGGTATACAAAAATTCAGGTTTTGGCTTGCGGCCTAAAGTGATACAATATCTAATGAAAAGCACAAACTGATCCCAGAAAAGGATGTATTTTACCAAGTCAAATTCAATAAAAGACACATAATGTAGTCAATATGCCTTTCTTTACGGGTAGGTTCTTAGAGCAGAAGCATTTATAAAGTAAATTATCCTTCAAGAGTTAGAAGAACATCATAATCCCAAGAATGGAAACTGCAAAGAAAACAGCACCTCAAATCAATGCGACCTAGATTTTTTATATTATTATATTCAGTAGGAATGGTGAGAAAACTGTGGCTTCAAATTTAATAAGTAAGCACTCCTGAAAAAGACTTTTGCTCTCCTTGCTCACACAGTTTCAATTTTCATTTTGGATTTACAACATTTGGTGTAGTGTTGTTAAATATGTTTGTGCATTAATTTTCTGCTCTATTTCCAAATCTATAGCAAAAATTGAGCCAGAATTGGAGATGCTGAACTATTTTCCCACACCTCTTTATGCCAAGTTCTAAAATATACACTTCAATTCTTTCACCATTTTGTTGCAAATTGACCAAAAGACTGAGTTTATTTTTCTAGCTGACTTTATCTTTGTTCATCTGGAAGAGCAAACACTGCAGCCCTTCATCCTTGGCCTGCTTCAGAGCTCAGGGATGATCATAGTTTTGGCCACACTATTACTCTCCCTTATCAAAATAACTCCAGCATTCTTGTTCAATCACAAAACTTCCCAAAGGGCTAAACACTTCCACCACGGTTTGTACTTAAGTCAACAGTAACAAGTGGCCTGCTGTGGTTTCTACTACCTTTGCTCTCACTATTTCAATGCAAGGGGGGGAAAATGATCAACTGTTTTTAAGCTTCGTACTTACGCCTCTTACTCCTCTTTCCCCCTCTACACCATCCAGATTGATATTCAGGAAGCTAGAGCTAAATTCACTGAAAAGTATGGTACTTCCTATCAACAGGTCAACATAAAAAGAATTACTCATAGTTTAAAGTATAAACCACCCAAGGATCATATAAACAAATACTTCTCTTCTTCTTAATACAAACAATTGTTAAGAGTGTGCTTTTTAAAACTAGATTCATGTATAGTGAATTCTTTATAGCCAAATAATTAATATATTTGACCTGACTCAGCAAGTAAAACAATACTTTAAGTAAGTAAATGCTTTAAAATTTTTATGAATGTTTTTGAATGCAAATATTAATTAGAAATAAAAAAAGTTCAAAACCGCGATTTCAAAAATTTTCCCAGATACATAATTGATATAAATAAGCACAACAAATGTAAAGTGACCTGATAGAAATTTCTTTCTAGATATGTCTCCTGAGGCAAAGGAAACAGAAGTAAGAATAAACTATTGAGACTTGATCAAAATAAAAAGCTTCTGCACAGCGAAGGAAACAATCAACAAAACTAAAAGGCAATCTACAGAATAGGAGAAGGTATTTGCAAATGACATAGCTGATAAAAGGTTCATATCCAAAGTACATAAGGAAATTATAAAATTCAGGGTACCTGGGTGGCTCAGTTAAGTGTGCAACTCTTGATTTCGGCTCAGGTCATGATCTCAGGGTTGTGGGACTGAGCCCCGTGTCAGGCTCTGAGCTTAGTCGGGAGTCTACTCTAGATTCCCTCTGCCCTTCCCCCTGCTCTCTCTCTCTCTCAAATAAATAAATCTTAAAAAAAAAAAAAAAGAATAAAACTCAACACCCAAAATACAAATAATCCACTTAAAATGGGCAGAAGACATGAACAGACATTTTTCCAAAGAAGGCATACAGGTGGCTAACAGATACATGAAAAGATGCTCAACATCACTCATCATCAGGGAAATACAAATCAAAACTACAATGTGGTATTACCTTGCACCAGTAAGAATGGCTAAAATCAACAACACAAGAAACAACAGGTGTTGGCAAGGATGTGGAGAAAGGGGAATGCTCTTGCTCTGTTGGTAGAAATGTAAAGTGGTGCAGCCACTCTGGAAAACAGTACGAAGGTTCCTCAAAAAGTTAAAAACACAAAACTACCCTACGATCCCACAACTGCCCTACTAGGTATTCACCCAAAGAATACAAAAATGTTAATTCAAAGGGGTACATGTGCCCTGATGTTTATAGCAGCATCATCAGCCAAATTATGGAAAGAGTCCAAGTGTCCATCGACTGATGAATGGATAAAGAAGATGTGGCACGCGCACGCACACACATGCACACACACACACACAATGGAATATTACTCAGCCATAGAAAAGAATGAAATCTTGCAATTTGCAGCTACAGAGTATTATGCTAAGAAAAGTAAGTCAGAGAAAGACAAATACTATATGATTTTACATGTTATGTGGAATTTAGGAAACAAAACAAAGGAATAAAGGGGGGAAAAAGAGAGAGAGGCAAACCAAGAAACATACTCTTAACTATAGAGAATACATTGCTGGTTACCAGAGGGGAGGTGGGGGATGGGTGAAATAGGTGATGGGGATTAAGGAGGGCACTTGTGATGAGCACTGAGTGATGTACTGAAGTGTTGAATCACTATACTATACACCTGAAACTAATATTACACTGTATATTAACTGGAATTTATATAAAAACAAAAAAATGTAAGGTGACCTCAGATTGATAGGTT